TCGGTCATAATTTTGACCGGTCGGTTAACCGCCTCTGACCGGTCATTATCGGTTACGATTATTGACCGGTCATGACCGGTCATGACCTGACCGAACCCATCCCTACTCCTGTCAATGAGAATGTTATAAATGATAAGATACTAGCAAATATTGGAAAGACCTAAGAGATAAAGAGATGAGAAATAAAATAATAAGCAAAGATATGGTCAAACATAGCAAATTAAAATAATTATAAGAAAATTACCATTGAAACACCTGTAATGGTAGCTCTAATAGTTAACAAAAACCTAACCAAACTAATCTCTTTATTTCTTAATTTATTAAGAGCATCTGCAAAACTATCTTCCCAAGCATAATATTTAATCATTCTAATCCCTAACAAAATTTCTTGTGTTAATTTTACTCGTTCATCAGTAATATCAGCAGCTTTAGCTCTAGTACGTGCTAATAATGACATAACCTTCCCTTGCATAGGGCACAATATCACCAATAAAGCAAAACCAGCCAATGCAGATGACCCAATATTAAATATTAACAAACTCAATATTATACAAATTTGAATAGGAGCGGCCCAAATCATATGAAAGTAACCACACACAAAGTCTATACGTGTAGTATCAGTAGACATTAGATTAGTGATCTTCCCATTAGTAAATAAGCTTCTAGCCTTTTCACTTAAAACTAAAGCTTTTCGATGGATAATGGTTATGAGGATAGTACGAGAGAGGAAACCGGTTTCCATTACATAATAAAAGTATAAGCTAAACAAAAAAATAGAAGCCATCTCCATTAAGAACATGGTAACGATTAATACATAGCCAACATATTTAGATGGTTGCACACCGTTATTAAGGTTGGCGGTGTATGCATCAGAGATAAATTTCAATATTAACTACAGTATCAATAATATCAGAATATTAAGAGAGAGAGATTGATTGTTATCAAGAATCGTACGTGAAAATACAAGTGCACATGAAACATACCCTTAAAATCAAAGGTGAAATAGCTGCTAATGTATCACTAACAAATCTAACTATACCCGCCAAGCAAAATCTAACTCACAAAACTCTATATAGAGCTTTTATTAAAGATGCTTTTTTTCCTAACGCAGTTCTTTTTTCCATTTTACTTCAAATTTATCTGTAACAATTTTAGCAGTTCTTGCGTCATTCAAAACAAATAGATCACCTTTTTCCAAAGGACGTTTATAACCTAAGCTCATTAAATCGTTAATCCACCAAAAGGTGAGTTTTGAAAATAAGTTTGCTTTTGTCTCGGATATTTTAACGTTCAGACGAGAAGGAGCAGGATTTGATCTTCTAAATACCATTATAAAAGAAATTTTTGTTCGGACATTTGGTTTTAAGAGCAACTCGTTTTAGAATACCGTAGCAAAATAACAGTAAATTATCTCGCTATATAATAAATTATTTTAATTTATGATTTATTATTAAAGTGAATCATACAATAGTGACAAAAAAACAATATGACAATTTTAAAGCTAAATAAAAAAAAAAGTTCATGACTTGTGTGGCAATACAGAAAATAAACAAGATTACGTTCATAGGCAGAAGTTTGTCTGATTGGCTAATAAATTCAATTTAATTTTACATTATATATATAGTTTGAGTACAGTTGTTAGGCGAAGCTGTTTTGCGCAAATGGCGAAAGACGAAACCTAAACATTGCGAAAGAAGAAAGTGGCGAAACTCTGGCGAAAGGCGAAACCTTCGGCAAAAGGCGAAATCCCTGGAGAAAGGCAAACTCCTGGTAAAGGTCAAAACTCTCAGCAAAGCTTAAATTCTCTACGATTTCAAAAAAGACTTGGCCATGTTAACCTTCTCCAATTTTTTTTTTCAACTGCCTGATATCTTTTCCATTTAAGCCTATGATTGACCGTGAAACGTTTTATTTATTGGATACCCCTTTACTCGTGATCTGCCACTTTCCTTTTAGACTGGAACAGTAATGATCGTCGTCAAAAATTTTATATGTTCTATATGTTCTGTACTTGATCAAGCCTCCCTGAGATTTTTTATCGTACTCGGGTTGTATTTATATTTTTTTTATCATGTGATCGCAACTTTTATGAATCGTTATTTGCTTTTATTTTGATCGGCTGTTTAATACTATTTTAAAAAATACTATTACCTGAATTATTTATGGTAAGTTCTCTCGGCCCAAAATACTAAAGTGTCGTGAAATTTTATCATATTTCATGTTAGTGTTTAAGGTCCGGTAGATCATGCCCCAACTCACCTTATGATCGATTCAGTAATATGAGCGTGTAACTCGATTCTATTCCGATAATTGTTTTGCTTTTTTTTCATGTCCGATTAACAGGTTATTCTTTTCGTTGAAGTAAAGATGTTCGATTTTGTCAATCAGCTTTACAAGGCTGCAAACTGGTTTTATAAAGGCTGTGAACTATAATCGAAAATTACAGGTAATAACGCCTTGATTTTAACCAATCGATTTATTTGTTGGTCGACCAGGCTTAGTCCGTGCTGATTCTTAAAATCGATTTTCATGTAATTAAATTAATTTTTCCTAATAAGGTATTATACCAGTACGATCATATAAAATATTCAGCAGAGATAGTTAAAATGGTTGATTATCCTGGGTCAACAATTTCTGTAAATAGGAGTCCGCTAAAGCCTTGTACCCACGTGACTCTTTATATATAGATCAGCCAATAAAAATCATGAACTTTGTTTACGCGGATCAATCCGAAGAAGTTAAAAAATCAAAAAAAAATAAATGCGGGAAGGCTTTTTTACTTATATACCTACTATTGCCCTAAATACTAACCTAACCCTAATTATAATCAAAGCTTTCAAATCACGCAGGTACAAGGCTTTAGCAATCTCCTCATAGGAGGACATTCATTTGATTGGCTGATGTAAATCAATTGTCTTGGGAACTTATTTATACACTTTAAAGTACTTTTTGAGAATGTAAAATTTCAAAACAATGTCTATATTTATTAGGAAAAATAATCAAAAATAATTAATAACCTAAAGAACTTTACTTAAAACTAAATTTTCTATATACTAGTTATTATATATAGCTATGTATAAATTTAAAAATAGTTTACTAAAAAGTAAACAGAAGGTTTTGCTGTAAGTTTTGATAAAAGGTTTTGTGTTTACTATACTAATAATGAAACTTAATATATTTTTTTATATTATAAAAATTACTTTATTGGATTTTTAGATTTTATTGCATTTTTACATATGTGAACTCAATATATAGATTGTATTGTTACTTCTGATACATCATATTTTATAAAATAAATTAAAAAGCTTATTAATAATATTAAATCTAATAACTGTTATTTT